CCCCAAAACCCCAAAACCCCAAAACCCCTTCAATCAAAATATTAGTTTTATTAGAATTCCGAATATTTTTAATAAAATCAAATAATTGAATGCAAAAATGTCTTAATTCTTTGATTATAATCAATATCTCTTGCTGCTTAATTCGAGAATAGATTAACTCTCACTTAAGATGAAACTGCTTTGTGAGTGAAGAGTTTCATTGGTTTCATTAATATTCATTCTCTGTTGTTCGGTAAGTTTATTTATCTAGTTTCTAAGCTGCTGAAATTTGACATCATTTCCTAATAAAATTTCTTTAATCTCTTGGCTTTAGTGTAATGAATCTTCACTTGCTTAATTGATTAGAGACTTAATTTGATCTATCTTTTGATGAATAACATCTTTATCATCCTCTTCAATATCATCTTTGATTTCTATCAAATATTTCACATTAGAGAACTCTTTCTTGCGATCAAATAGAAAATCATTTTCTACAATAAGCTATAGATGTTCTCTGACTATTTAATTTTCAGAGCTCTCATTTACTCTGTTGAATGATTCACCCATTATTGCTACCAACATGTTTAGTAAAATAACAGCACTGAATAATGAGCAGATAACAAACAATGAGTAGATAAGAAATTAATCAGTAGCTTAAGGAAAACCATCTAATTAAAAATCACCAAGAGCCATTCTATAAGAAAAAATAAATGATTCCTAAAAGCTTTAAAGGAAAACAGCTCCTTATGTTTCCTTTGAATTATTGTTTGAAAGTATCAAAAAGCTTGTTCCAAAACCAATAATACCCAAGAAGAATACAAATAAGAAATTTCTAATATCATAAGTGATCTCAATAATTGTTCTCACAAGATGTAAAGAATTGTCAAAAATTCTCAAGAAATAAAAGAATCTCATATAAAAAATCAAATTGCAAATGGCCATAAAGGGTCGAACAATAGCTTAATCTACTGAAGCTTGGCTCATAATCACAGTAAATGGAGCAAGAATTACTGTTGAAAGATCTAATAAGTTCCAAAATGATTTAAGATACTCCTTTTTATGGAATTTCATCTAGCGATACTCAATGGTGAGAGTTTAGAAAGCAAAAATTAATATAGCTACTTAAACTGTGATATTAATACCTTACATCTCACCCTCATAATCATCTTAAAATTAAGTCTCGTAGGTAGATACAGAGAAGTAGCTATAGACAACCATGTTTATAATGAAAGGTATGAATAGCCATTTAATAAGAAGAGGCTTCATTATGTTCCATTAATAGTTAACTAGCAATTGGATTGTTTCGATTGCAAAATAATCCATATTTTCTGATTCTGAAAGCTTAATTTGGAACTCAATTCCTGCATCAGTTCTTAAGATCCAGCCAGCATCTAGAGCTTTCATTACAACTTGCTTCATAGGTTGAGTAGTGTCCTAAAAGTTTTTGTGAAACTTAGAATCAAGGAATGATGTACTATGAGGGGCAATAAAGTAAGATAGACTTTCTACTTTTGATTTCCTTTGAAATATTTGTTTGTTCTGCATTTACAATGTCTAAAAGAAACACAGCCTAAGATATTCTTCAAAACCGTTATAGTCTAGTAGATCCACAAAGTTTTGCTTCACAGCATGAATGTTATTCATTGATACAGATGCCAATTTGTCTAGGATAAGTTTTACACATCTAGTATTTCCATATTTGATAGCTTTCTATAGTACGTTATTTCCTTAATCATCTTTGATAAAAATCATGTTCAATAGTTTTTGATTTGTTTATTGATACTTGTTCAAGATAAATTCCAAAGGCTTATAATTGTTGGCATACTCATGCAGAACTGATTATCCTTCATAATAATAGATTGCTTCTGGGTCATAAATGTCATTATTCAAAGTGAGACCCTTTTCTTTTTATGATTCCATTTAAACAAGGGAAAAGAAACTATAAGGAATGAAAAACTTATTTCTGATTAAGAAATGTTGATTTTTTGAGCAGAATCTTGATCCTTTGTCAATTTTTTGTCCAAATAAGTACTAGATCTAATAATTATCCATACCTGTTTTATAGTGATATAAAGGTGTACCTTAATCTATGTCTATAATAGAATCATCATCTAAGATATAACCTTCACATTTAGTGTCAAAGAATATTTGTGCCTATTTTGAACAATCAAATGATGAGAATTCTTTATCCTTAAGAATATTGTACTTTGTTATAAAAGAGTAGCTATTATCTACCTCAATCTTGATATAGATATAATAGTTTCCCATTCTTATATCTTCATCGTTTTGACCATAAGCATTAACTGAAACAATTTGTGCTTCATCCTTATTTTCTATTTCTGTCTCAATTTACTTTAAAGTTATCTAATGCGAATTAGAGTTCACAAATTTGAGATCTCCATGATATACTTATGATTTAGACCATAAGATGACTTTATCATTTGTAACTATAAAGTTGTAGCATTATTTTAGTGGTTACATATCCCCAAAGAATTCTTATTCAGCTGTTTGATTCGAAGGTTAGTTTTGATTCTACTTGCCTTCAAGTAATTTTTCCTATAGGTTGAATCCAATTATTTCTGCAAGCTTACTTCCTTATTATTCCTCGTCCTGATTTATTCGAACTCTAAATACAACTCGTTTGCTATCATCATATCTTTTTAAAAGGAGTAGCTCTTTCAAGTATTTATTATTATTCGTAACATGACCTAAAGCTTATGATGAGTAGACAAATCCAATCAGTATATCCATATGATCATTCATTTTGTAAAGAACTTCACAGCCTTTTGCATTATAATAATTGATAATTTCATTAAGGTAGAACTTGTTGATTTTAGCATAAAAAGAATCATTTACTCTAATTTTATCTGCCTGAATATGCTCAAGCATAGTTACCTTCAATTCAGACTATTAGTTAGCAAAATTAAAAGTATGGAGCTTTTTAAATGTTTTCATTGACCAGACTTTATTGCTACTTTATTCATTACTTCTCTAATTGCTACTCTTTTAATTGCCAATAGATTTAATGTATATCTTCAAAATATGGAAGTTTGACCTTGTGATATCTTCTTCAAAAGTTTATAAGAATGTTTTTCCATTTTAACTTAATGCTAGTGTCATCTCTCCATATGTTTAGAAATCATTTTTCATATGATAACTTGATACTAATTATCCCTTGAGATTATAATGAAAAATTCTTTAAATGTAAGGGATGAGACACAAAACATCTAAAATTTTTTGATTTTATTCTGGGTGAACGTACTCATAAAATTAGCAGAATTATGTTATATTAGTCCTCTTGTTGAAAACTGAGAAGTTATCTCCTAAAAATGGGATAATTATTGCTCTTTTAGTTTTCATCTAAACTTTGTTTGTTACAAAATATATCATTTTCCGATAATCGGTATTCATAAGTGGAGAATAAAAGGCAAGCTAGTTGCCATATTATGGGAGTATTGGAATAATGTTTTTAAAGTGATGAATTACATATTTTTCTCCATTAAAAACTAGGTTATACAGCTCATTTCCTGCTGGAATCATTGATCCTTAGAAATAGTTGATAGTTTATAGATTTCCTATTAAATTTTCGTCAGTTGTAGGTATTACATATTTCAATTTGATCTGGTAGTTTTAGTTGATATCGTAGATCTTGATGAGGTATTACTCACTTTTTTCAGGTTTGTTTAATATTAATAGTTTTCCTTCTTAAACAAGAAATTCAATTAGTTTTCCATCTGTTTCTTGAAATACTTTATAGCTCTAGCAATCAGAGTGGCCAATTCTTAGATATTTTATTTCGTTTGTCTTTTTTTTGTTTTCATCAACAGTATTATATGCAAGAAGATTGTATTAAATTTCTCTAATTTTATAGCCACTATCAATGATTCTAAGTTTACCATCTATTATACCATAGATTTTGAAGTCGCATAAAAAGAAAATTATTCTATCCTCGTTAGTTTGAATGATTTCTTTAGTAGATTAGCTTCTCACATAAAATTTATAGATGCTTTTATTTTAGATCTAATCTTTAAATATTCTAGCAATAGGTGTATTCTATTTAGTCCTAAAGGTAGATTATACTCTAGTAACCATACTCTTAATGGGTGTATTTTCTCCTCCTGTATGCTTCTTCCTATCAAAGATGTATGGCATACATTTGTCGAGATCTTATTCGTATATAATATACTGCTTACTTGTTTGAATTATAACATAGAGCAGGCACTTATCAGATAAGAACATATTAGAAATAAAAGCATTCGGATCACCTTCATTATATAACTCTTCCAGTTCTAGATAAAAAGCTAGCTCAGTATTAAATGCATTTTAAATCAAGATATGCCTTTGACCCTTCAAATAGCAAAGATAAGGCCATTCAAAAATATAGTTTGAACTTTCATAGAATCTTTGCCAAAAAGTTTCTTTAGTCTAGAAGTTTTCGTATTCATAAATAATAAATTCTTCATCATCTCTAGTTACAAGGATTCTAACCTTATTTTGATAGGAGTAGATATCCCGAATATCAGTAACACCTTCTTTAAATCTGAAATAGAATTTTATTTTCTTGTTAGCATCAGATGAATGTCTAACACATATACTTTTATCTTAAGCATTAGCAGTTGCTATCAAAAATTCAGAGTCACCATAAGTAGCTATATGGCGGGATATCTTTCCATCAAGATGGTTGATATCTATTTAATGTTGAGACATACCATCTTCCGCAAGCAAGAGTAATGTGCTTTGATTATAATTGCAATAGATAGCTTATGTCATGTCAGCAGAAAATTTGAGTGATGTTGTTTTTATATCAAAACTTTGAAGTCTTATTGAGCTAATTGGATACTTGGCAGCAATTTTCAAATATTCTTTTTGTATAAGATTGATTTTCGATAGTTCCTATTGCCTAGTCATAATGTCAATTATCATTTGTAGTGGAAAGATATCAATATTCCTAAAATCAGTTCTCTTTGCAGCAACTAAAGATTCATTAAGTCTATCTTCATCTATTGAAAAAGTTACGATAATTTCGAAATTGTGTGGAAGAGTTGCCTAGATCTTTTCTTATTTAATAAGTTTTATGTCTTTGTCTTAAAGATCATAAATATGAATGATTTTCCTTTACTCAATGACTTGGAGATACTTGTAGTTACTGCTAAATTAGAATGATGAACTTTCAAAGGTAGAGGCACCTAGTAGTTGATCATCTTGAATAGTAAAGATAAGATTAGGGTCCTTGTTAGTTAAGATTTCTTGTCTCAAAAAGAAGTCAATATTGCTGCAGTCAAAAATATCAATGACATATCTTTTCTAGTTTCCAAGAAATTTATTTATCAGATGCTCATTATTCTCATGCAATCTATAGATTGCAACTCGCTTACAATCATCAGAGAAGCACATCTTGTTTTAATAAGATAAATCACATTTTCTCAAATTTTTATTCTAAGCATATCTATCATTCTCAAATCCATACACTTTGAAACAGAGACAGTCATTCTGATCTTTTTATTAAGCTAAGTAGTCATTATCTCTGGGATCTTCATTCTAATCTATCATACTGTAGTTTAAGAACTAAATGTCTTAGGGATAGACTTGGATGTAAGCTGTGATAAGATAGTGCATATCAGGTTTGTAAAAGAAGGCTTTGAAGATGTATTTGGCAGGCATTTCTAACTAAATTCCATATTCATCAATAAACTACTGTTTGGGGCTGCCTTCCGCAAGTTTGTCTATAACTGTGAGTTGCTTAGTTATTTCTTAAACTTTATTTTTGAACTTCGAACCTTGTGAAGTAAATTTAGGCGAGCTTTTATTCATATCGTAAAGGGTAATGTTGTTTAGAATGTTATTAATTATATTTATTTTTTCATTCTCATGCATAGCATTAATTATCAATTAAAAACAATCAGTAATAAACAGCAAATAATGATTAATAATTTTACCATCACAGTCAAACTCTATTCAATAATCAAATGGGGTTTTGGGGTTTTGGGG